ATTCTCAGGTGATGTCAGAAAAATAAAACCGCGAAATTTTAGTGACTAGTATGATAGATACGAAGCACTTTCCGAAAAAATGATTTTCGGCGAATCTAACGATACATACTAATTTATTTGCGATTGGACTGAAAATAAGAACATAAATTCAATACTGCTAAGGAAAATACTGGTCATTTGTTTATTCACATTCGTCAAGTGTGCCATGAATAGCCATGATTCATAATATTTTGCTTTTCGAGTCTTCTTTGGAATACGAAACACTCAGGTAATGACAGTGACATGAGCCTCATGAGCGCTGTGTTGTTAAGGACCTGAATTAATTTTTGTAACACTTCTCACGCTTTTTTTGTGTAAATAATGAGTCTATGCGTTGTTCAAAATTGTTAAATTTCAGAGCTCATTTCAAACGTACCGTCATGGCCGCCATTTGGCGATACGTGGAATAAATGGTGACGTCAATTTTTAAGCTGTTTCGGTATTGATCAGATAATCTCCCATTCGCACTCATGAAGCAAGGTTGTCAAGTCACCAATTATAATCAAGTTATCAAAAAGATATTATAGTCCTGTCGTTGAATAAAACATTAGATAAAACATAATAGGAGGAGGCCATGATATTATAGTTCATTCTCGACTTTTTTAAGCAACCAGCATGTCCAAATATTTCTTATACTCCATAACAAAATATCATATAATTGTTAAAGACTTGGTAACAATGTACTGAATGCTGAAAACTGACAAGACACCTTCCACAATTCTCGAGCTGTGTTGTCATGTTCGCCGGTTCAAATGTCCTCTAGTGTGAATTAATATAGTGATAATTATTATTTAGATAAATTATAACCAATAAGCCACAACACATGAGGGAACATTACGAGACAATTGTTTTTTTTATAATTAGGAATATTACCAATACATAACTGAGAATGTATGAATTATTGAATAACTAATAGTTCTGAAGTTCCTAATCGTATTTCAACGTATGGCAACTGTGATATGGTCTGCCCATACTTATGAAATCGTGACGTCAGTTTTTACTCGCGGTAAATTTCAAAATTTCTAGCCGTTTGAAAATTACCGTGGCATTATTAATGATTTTAGCACCTTAAAATCGACCGAAAATTATTAAAAAATATGAAATTGAAAGGTATTTGAGTGACGATTCTCTTCCAGAAATAAAAAAATTAGTCCACTCGCATATTATATAAAAACAGTCGTTGTCTATGACTTGGCTGCGATGTATTCACTGTGAAATTATGAACAGAAACAGTTGTTCAGATATGGGGATCAAATTGAGCCATATTAAATGTTTGTATGTATTTAGATCATATATTGGAATGTGTTGTATATGATATTGAAAGGTATTCGAGTGACGATTCTCTTCCAGAAATAAAAAAATTAGTCCACTCGCATATTATATAAAATCAGTCGTTGTCTATGACTTGGCTGCGATGTATTCACTGTGAAATTATGAACAGAAACAGTTGTTCAGATATGGGGATCAAATTGAGCCATATTAAATGTTTGTATGTATTTAGATCATATATTGGAATGTGTTGTATATGATATTGAAAGGTATTCGAGTGACGATTCTCTTCCAGAAATAAAAAAATTAGTCCACTCGCATATTATATAAAATCAGTCGTTGTCTATGACTTGGCTGCGATGTATTCACTGTGAAATTATGAACAGAAACAGTTGTTCAGATATGGGGATCAAATTGAGCCATATTATGTGTTTGCGGATGACACTACTATTCTATGGCATGAAAATAATGCAGATGCACTAGAAGAAAAAATCCAAGTAGACATTAAAGTATTAAAAAGTTGGTGTGACTCAAATCGTCTTGCTCTAAATGTAACAAAAACCAACATAATATCCTTCAGGTGTGAAATAATCAATATTGAACTAGATAATGGCCTCATTGAAAGCTGCAATAAGACTAAATTTTTAGGGGTTTTTATCGATAATAAATTGAAATTTGAACAACATGTTTTGAACTTGAATAAGAAATTGGCCTCTGGTTGTTTCGCTGTGAGAACAGTAACAAAGGAACTTGGACCCTCAGCTGCAAAATTAGTCTACCATGCATTGATAGAGTCTCACCTGAGATACGGTATTCCTTTCTGGGGAGTATGTAATAATAACCTCATGCTAAGTATACTGGTACTGCAAAAACGCTCGATTAGATATATGTCCAAAGTTAAAATGCGTGTTTCCTGTAAACCGCTGTTTGTATCGCATAAATTACTAACTGTTATTGCAATCTTCATCCTTGAATCAGTATATCTCATCAAAAAACACATCCATAAATTTAATACTACTCCTTCCTATTACTCTACCCGTAAGCATAACAGTATAAACTTACCAATACCAAGTTCTTCTCTAGTAAAGGATTCACTCATTTATAATGGATGCAAGATGTTCAATCATTTGCCCGACTATATAAGAGATATCACCCACATTGACCATTTTAAAAAAGCTGTCCATTTGCTATTATCAGATCGGCCTTACTATAGTTTGGAGGAATTTTTTTCTGATCAATTCTAATTATATGTACCCTTTGCTAATGTAAGAGTCTTTTTAATGTCTGTTTTATATTTTTAGTTTTTTATTTACACTTTTAACTCTACATATGTGCTTTGTCCATAAGAATGTACCTTTTCTTCATGACAATAAAGTATATTCTCTCTCTCTCTCTCTCTCTCTCTAAATGTTTGTATGTATTTAGATCATATATTGGAATGTGTTGTATATGAAATTGAAAGGTATTCGAGTGATAACTCTATTTAAGAAATAAAAAAAAATTAGTCCACTAGCATATTATATAAAAACAGTCCGTGACTATGACTTGGCTGTGATTTATTCACTGTGAAATGACAGTAACAGTTGTTCAGGTATGGGGATCAAATTGTGCCATATTTCATTTTTGTATGTATTTAGATCATCTACTGGAATGTGTTGTATTCACATCTGTAATAGCCTTATTGCTGAGGTCACCACTTTAGCAAAGACAGATACCAAACGAACCATAATATACTCATATGTTGTCTTCTAGAATGCCTAAAAAACGGACTATAGCTACTTTCTATTCCACTCAAGGTATTTCCAAATCATGTGTACATGAAATATCTGATATTATGACCTTCATTGCAAACAAATAATTCGTGGAGGGAATATTTCCAGAATGATTAAAATTATCAATCATAAAACCTTTGCACAAAATGGGTGATACTGATAGTCTATCATAGATCCATTAGTTTATTAACTTGTTTTGCAAAAATCCTTGAAATTTTGATGGCAAGAAGAGTAATTTTTTTTAAAAAGTTAGAGTTATTTGCAGAAAACCAGAAAGGATATCTCAAAAATAAATCAGAAGAGACTGCCTTATGACTTCATCATTGAAGTTCTGCAAGCCTTGGACGATGGAGACCTCTCTTGAGGTATTTTCGTGGATCTCTCCAAGGCATTTGACTGTATTGATCATAACATTCAACTAGTTAACTATATAAAAACCGTATACGCGATAACTCCCACAACTGGTTCAAATCATACCTCTAAAAGATAAAACAAATAGTCCAACTATCATCTGAGCAGGGTGAAGTTAGGTCCAAGTGCCTTGGAGATATTCATAGGTGTCCCGCAGGGTAGTATACTAGGTCCAATCCTTTTTATAATATTCGTGAATGACATAAAAAACGTAGTAACAAATTTTTCCACCAAAGTTTTTAATTATGCTGATGACACTAACTTCTTACTAAGGTGTCCGAATTTCATTGATATCATTGAAACAGGAACGTTAATAATGAGGAGGAAAAATTCTTTCAGTGAAAATAAGTTACTCATCAACAACGAAAAAACAAATTGAGTCACTGAGAATCAACAATATTATTGAAATGTCACACTGTTGAATTTTTAGGGGTCTATATAAATGATTAAATGACATGGACAAATCAGGTAGAAAATTTGTGTAATAAACTGTTTTCAATTACTTATGTGATAAGAGTACTGAAACACATGTTGATCAGAGCACTTGAATCACAGGTCATTACGCCAATTTTCATTCAAGTTTGAAATTCGGAATTGGGGCATGGGGAGCATGCTCGGACTTGAATAAAGTTTTTATATGCCAGCAAAAAGTAGTGAGGATAATTTTTGATCAGAAAATGGATGGCTCATGCCGGGGAATATTCAAAAATAATAACATGTTAACAGTACCAGCTTTGTTCATTTATCAAGCTATTAAATTCCGTACCACACATGAATATCACTTCACCCAATTCACAATACTTTTTTTTTGTTTGGAAACAAGTCCACTGTATAACGCAATAAAATTCTATAACAATCTTCAACTGGAGATAAAAGGTATGCAAAATACCAAAAGATTCCTTGGCTCCCTATGGAATTACTTACTGATGACATGGTAAAATTTAGTCATGTTGGTATCTGTAACTTTCACAATTAGACTAATTATGGTTATTGAGGAATCTCAATTGTAGTCTTGAGTACACCTACATCAAAATCAGAGGTCAAATTAGGGTTTTATATTTTTCCCTGCAATGTTGATAATTCAAAATGTGTAAACATCATTGGCCATGTTAGATGACAAAAAAAGAAGGGAGGTTTACCTCACCACCTGCACCTACCATGTGCTAGTCCACTATGCAATATATTGATTGATTTTAATATTTTATGTCTAAGGGTAATTGGGTCCCAATGCCCGCTTATTCTGAGGAAAAAAGATACAAAAAAATTAACTGCTTTGTCAGCCGACACATAATCAGAAAAAAATGAATTTGACTTCATTTTATAATTGAGCTTCATTTACAACCTTTCATTTCACTCACCACCAAATCAACATGTATAACAAAAACAATATTGTTCAGAAAAACATTGAATCACTGATGTAAAACAGGCTAAAGGTCCATAGATAATTAAGCCCTTGGTTTCGTTTCACATTTGGAAGAATGATCAGTCAAGTTCAACTATGTCTCTTACCTGATTTTTCCATGCCTTGCGATAACCATCTCGCCCAGACCAAATATACAGCCTTGTGCTGATTCCAACAGCACAATGCCCAGCCCTAGCACAAGGCAAGTCAGCTTCCGTTTCTGCATGAATACTGAGTTCATCCCAATTCATGGATTCCAAATTCAGGCACGCCATAGTACTTGTACATTTCCATTCTTTCTCTTTGGTAGCAGTTTTGACTTCATCTGCTACCACAGGTACCCAACCTCCGAAAACGAACATTCTGTGTCCAATCAGCGTAGAGGTGTGCAGAGATCTCGGAAGGGGAGTGATTCCCGAGACCTGGGGTTTCAGCCAGGTCATTGTTTCAGTCTCTAAAAACCACAGATCACCCAAGCGGCATCCACTCATTCCACCGTAAATGACCAGGAATGATCTGCCCTTTTTCTTGTCCAGATATGCAACACCTGTATGAGATTCTCTGGGCGGGGGTGAGGGGCCATTTGTTTGGGGGATGTCCCACTGTACAGGGTTACTGCGTATATCTAACGTGTAGAGGTCGTTCAGATACCTGGGAACATTGTTTTTTGGGTCTGCACTGTCATTGGCTAGACCTCCGAACAGGTACACTTTTGTGTTTACAAGGGTGAAACTGTGGCCCAGTCGCGGGCATGGTGGCGGACCTAGTTTTGGTGATTTTGGATTCAGTTTTTTCCACTCCCATTTTGATGCCTGCGAGAAAATAGGCATGATCAAAAATATCTAGTTGGACAGAGAGTGTTACTATGCTGAGTGTTGACACTGACAGACTCATATGTCCTCTGCATTGTGATTGTGGGCTAAATACATATATGAACTATTTCTATACAGGGTGTTGCGAAAGTCGACCGACAACGCTTGAAAGGTGATAGTCCTAGTGATTTCATAATCACTGAGATAGGGACATACGGTCTTCAAGTGTTCAGTTCTCCAGATACAGGGCCTTGAAGTTAAGGAATTAAAATGTTTTTTTCGCAATATCTCAAGAAAAAATGAATATAGTGCATTCAAATTCGGTATATGGTTTCCTGGGTGGCCAGGTAGCCGTGAGGACAAAGTGTCCATATTCTAATCCGCATTCGCTTGCCGGTCGTGGGTTCGAGTCCCGTCGACTGCAGAAATTTTTCTGATGGCCCAAGAAAGTGTTTGGGATCACACGTTAAAAGGTAAGGCCCCCGTCATTCCTTGCTCGCACAAGACTTTCGAAGACTTCTGAGGGTTGCTCGTAAGGGGGCAACCGAATGACGGATAGAACAATTATAGAACAATTATCTTTCAATGGTTAATTTTTTGACCAGAAAGACATTCCGAGAATTTCATCCAGAGGTGCGCTACAGATGGTTGTGATATCATTTCCTCCCAAATTTTCTACGCCACTGATGAAATTTCGATTATTTTCAATTTCTTGAATTGATTGTTCAAATATGTTGAAAAAATGCATTACCTTCAACTGAGCTAAAATGAACAGTTATCGAGATATTTGACCCAAAATAGAAGTTGCATAGTAATTTTTCATCTTCCTCAGTAGTAGAAAATTACAAAAATTCTTGTTTTCTCTCTATGCGTGGAATAACTATTTCTGTTCAGCTATAGAATGAAATCTGAATACTATCTAATTTACTCAACACCAGAAAAATATTTTTGCAATTTTCTTCTACTGAAATTGATGAAATATTACTATGCAATCTTCTATTTTGTGTCGAATATCTCGAAAACTGTTCATTTCAACTCAGTAGAAGGTGATGCATTTTTTGAACAAAATTGAACAATGAATTCGAGGAATTGGAAATAATCGAAATTTAATCAGTGGCGTAGAAAATATGGGAGGGAAAGTTGTCACAACCCCCTGTAGGGCAAAACTGGATAAAATGTCCGGAATGGCTTCCTGGTCAAAAAATGACCTATTCAAAGATGAAACCATATATCGAAGTTGAATGCAGAGATTGTGAAACAACTATTTTTATTTCTCAACTTTAACCCCCTTTATCTCGAGAACTGAGCACTTGAAGGCCGTATGTTCCTATCTCAGTGATTATGAAATCACGAGGGCTATCACCTGTCAAGCGTTGTCGGTCGAATTTCGTAACACCCTGTATGTGTTACGAAATTCGACCGACAACGCTTGTGTTGTTTATTTTGGCTGTATCATTTGCATTCATGATGTTTCATTTTATTTAAATACAGATTTTCACAATGAGGTAGATTAGTCAATGTAGAATCACAGAATACCCAACAATCAGAAGTGCTTCTCTGGGCGGCGCCTATGATATTTTAGGATCTGTTTTCTGTGACTTGCCATGTTCTTGGGTTAGCAAGCAGGGCCGATTTAAGGGAAATGACAGGATTGTACTAACTGAATTTATTCACTTTGTGTGTCATTTATAAATACCAGTAAAATGTATCCAATTCTTACAAAATTGCACTCACACTTAATTCAATGGAAAATAGTTTACACAAGCTGACTTTTATTTTCCGTAGGACAGGTTTGAACACAAATATTGCGAAAAATTTGAATTGATAGATTTGACCAGGTTTCAATTAGATTATTTTTTCAAGTTGTTTTTTGGAAAAACTAAACTCATTTTTTCTCAATTGCAATTTTGCTTGGTCAATAGGTAAACAGGGTATCATCATTCAACTGACTCTGATCAGATGTGGTAGAATATAGTGTAACATTTTATTAATATTCAATTGAGAAAAAGGCAAAATGCTTTTTATTATTATATAATTTCTAGTATTTTGTTTTAATAAGATATTTAATAATTTAGGCCCTTTCCTGAAAGCAGTGTCAGTACCTACTAACAAAATAAATAGGTGTTTTTCTAGGAGAACTAACATGACAGATTTTTTCACCAAAAAAACAAGTTTGACCCTTTTGTGATAACAGAGAAAAAATGGAACGTCTATAAACAAAATATATTCCTAATATAATTCAGATTTTGAACCAAAAAAACTTCCAATGATCGTTCTCACAATATTCAATTCAATATTTAGCTAATTAACTTTTTTATTCTCAATATCACGGTGAGCGAATTTTATAGTATAATAACGAACTCTTATATAGGGATAACAGATATTCCAATGAGAAATGTTCACATGGATGTACAAATGGAATATTTTAAAATAAACCCCATGCCCTGGTTCATTATTATACAGCCTCCAACACAACAACCCATTCTTGTTAGTCAAAATAATGACAATAAATGAATGCTGAATGAAGAAGTGAGGTGTCTTATTGGATTCCAACCGGTATACAAGTGCACTGCGTTACCCAGAAGCCTAACGTGAAGACTATCGGTATACGCGAGAGTGCCGAGAAGTGCTGAGATTGGAGACGGGGCACGAAGGGAAATTTTAGGGCGGAGCTTAGAGTGGTCCTTCTAGTCTCTGTTCATGTTCCGTGATATGACCAATTAGCACAAACAAAAAACAAATGTGAACCAATGAAAACAAAGTAAACATGCCGCTTTGACAGCTTTCAAGAACTCCGATAGGTGTCGTACGCTTATTTTCTATCGCGAATGCTTCATATATGAGTAGTAGATATATTGCTAAATAGTATATTATATACCTAGTCTGAGAAGACTATTATATAGCAAGCTCTGCGAGCTATACAGGGTGATTCATTGGGAAATGCATATAGAGTAAGGGTTGATGGAGGACACCGAGGTGCTTCCAAATATTAAATATTTCATGGATCTATTATTCTTTGTAACTGAGATACAGGATGATTTATCAATTTTCACATGTTTTCAATTAATCATAACTTATGAACCACCCTATACATTTTTCTAATTTTTGGTTGGTATGTTCTTTGTCCACAGAGGTGACGATTGGCATAATAAGAGAAAGTCTCAATCCAGGTCCGGCCTTGGAAAATTAATAAGTAAGTTTCGAGTCAAAAAACACCCTGTATATCAATATTTTGGACTTTCATTCACAAATTTGAAAAGGGCAGGAAAAATTAAGTCGGACTGAATGTATTTGGTGTTTCCGCATACAACTTTTTTACCTAGTAATTTGAGTCAAATGTAGATGTTTCAATAATGAAGTGGCACAAATTTGAAAAAAAAAATTTGTCCTCTCCAACTGGTACTTTTTCATTGTCAAACCATGAAATCATCAACTATTTCTTACTCTACTTTTTTTTCAATTTTGTGCCACCTCATTATCAAAACATCTAGATTTGACTCCAAGTTAATAGGTAAAAAAGTTGTATGCGGAAAGACCAAATACATCCAGTCTGACTAATTTTTTCCGGCTCTTTTCAAATTTGTAAATGAAAGTCCAAAATACTGATATACAGAGGTGTTGTTTCGACTGGAAACTTGCTAATTAATTTTTTTAAGGCCGGACCTGGATTGAAACTTTTTCTTATTATGTCAATCCTCACCTCTGTGGACAAATAACATACCAACCAAATATCAGAAAAATGTATAGGGTGGTTAATAAGTTATGGTTAATTGAAAAAAAATTTGAAAATTGATAAATCACTCTGTATCTCAGTTATGATGAATGACCCATGAAATATATATTATTTAGAAGCACCTTGGTGTCCTTCATCTATCTCTATGCGCATTTCCCAATGAATCACCCTGTATAGCATTTTCACCTGAGGTATATAGTCATTTTGTATGATGATGGGATTTTGCTACTAACACTGAAATATCAACATCTATTATTGATCAAGATTTTCATTTCCATGGAAGAAGCAATGCCAGTCACTATATTTATTCAGAATAATTGTTCAACATATTACTGAAATTTTGATATATCAAGTAGCCTGAGAGCTCAGTTGTCAAAAAAACCAATAGGAAATTCAACTGGGCTGTCAGAAAATAAATGCTGCATTGAAATTCCAGGTAAAATTATGAATAAATAGCATATATGCTGCCTGAATGAACTTAGGAAGGATACTGATAAATATCTCAAGTAGGTAGATATTGAAAATACAGTATTCATTGAAATGATTTGAAATATTCAACCTATTGCAGATGATACCATTGAACAATCATTGAACTGATGTATGTAATGAAAGATATTGTATTGACCACTATAGCTAGAATCATTCTGATTGGTCAAAAAATGTGTCCATAAGGAAAGTAATGGTAGCACATGAGAATTAATAATAATCACATAATTCTAAACATTTTTTAAACTTCAAAAATTGCTTTCAGCTGTGAATAATTTCATATTCTTAACTATATTTGGTTAAATAAATGTTTCATTTTTATTATTTGCATATGAATCCCTACCTATGTGTGTATATTACATATCATTGACACTACTGACAGAAACTTTCTTTATCACCATTTACCTAGTTCAAAAAAGTGTTACTTATCATTGGAGTAAATTCTTGAATATTTGTGATTTCTCAGTTTAGTGGAGGAAAAAACAAATTAGCTCAGCTACATCTACTGGCAGGGAAATGTGTACTGCAGGTTGCATGAACAGTCATACCAAGGAATAAGTTGAAGACACACCTGTACTAAGGCTCTAGTCCTACTAATTTTTGGATGATATTATGTGCAAGAAATTTATTTCTATACTCAAATGCTCCAAATTATTATCATTACCCAAATACTTCATCACAGGAGGATAACTTGAAATATAGTAATTCTTGAACACCCAAAAAATATACAGGGTGTCCTTAAAAGTCGTGTTGTAAATGATAGGGCTGATAGAGTCATCCAAAATAATGTTAGTATTTCATGTAACAAAATGTCTATTGCACTTCATTACAGAGTTATCAAAATAATTTGATGTAAATTATGACAATGCCTGCAACTACCATGATTCCTGATACCAGTACAAGATATTGATTTCAATAAAGTATAGGTATATAGTATAGCATATTCTTTTAGTAGAAAAATGATAATGGAATCAAATGATGGAAACAAAATGTCAATTTTTCACCTCAATCAAAAATGCAAATGTTGTCCCATCCTTTATAAAAACATAATCAGGGAACAGCTGTTCATATCAAAAGGTGTATTAGTATGAGTTGCCTCAATATCATTGATACCATGGCAAGCATTTAAAAGTTATACATGAAATATATTTTTTCAAGGTCAAAGACTCTGTAAGGAAGAGTGATAGACATTATTTTAATATGAAATACTGACATTATTTTGGCTTACTTTATCAGCTATATCATTCACAACATGATGATAAAAAAAGGTTATATTTTCAAAAAATATTTGACCAGAATAATGCAAGAACAAATTCATAATTTTTTATGAAGGGTTATGCAATTGTCCAGTCAAATAAAATTCAGTCTAGTGACCTGTCAGATATACTCAAATATGGTCAAATTGACTGGTCCATTGACCATGTTCAGCCCTATTCCTATGAGTTACTTTCTGATCTGATCATAAAATAATATCCATGTTCAGGTATTGATTGTGTCAAATCTCGTCTATGAGTTTGTTTATATTACTTACTTGTAATTCATACAGTTCATTACTATATTTTCCATATTCAACCATTCCACCAAAAACAAGAAGTCTGGTACCTTCCACAACAAAGCCATAAGCTGCACATCCTGGGGGTACATCTCCTTTTGTGACTGGTACAAACCATTGATTTGTAGCTACAATTGAAAAACATATTACTAATATCAATTCTAGAAATGCTTATAGTGCTTAGTTAAAATACTGGTAGGATGATAGGTGAGTAGGAAAAATACTTTGGGGTTACAGTAATTCAACTTCAAGGCAACTTCAAGGTTAACAATAACTAATCTCAACTTTTCATCTCTAGTGAAACATAATAATGTATGTACTCTATAGCCAGGGCACAAAAAATGCATTTATATCTTCCCTCAGAATAATATCAATAGAATATCACTCTCCTTCTGTGGTAATTACATATTCAATCTCTACAATTAATAATATTGAATTAATATTGCATTGTCAATTAGTATTTCAAACTTTTATGTGAAAATATGGGTCCAATTCTATAAATACAGAAACATTTAGACACATATAATTTAGTACTTCAATCTCCTAGTAGTTGATGATTCAATCATTGATATTGTCATTTCATGTATCAATCTTGTGACAATGTGAAATACTTTCATCAACAGTCAAATATGGCATACATGGCAATTTCTAAATTTAAAATTCAGATCAATGATAGAGCCATTTAATTCTGGAGGGTTGACAACTGAAATTCTGGAAAGATAATACCTATAAGGTACTTGAATGAAATGCTAGAATACCTTGATTTCAATTTTTATTTCATCATAATAGTAAGATTCAGACAGGGTTGACATGATTCAATTAATTTGAATTTAATTGAATCATGGACTTATATGTCCATGAATTGAATCAATGTGCCATTAAAATATGTATTATGATACATTATAATGAATGAAGTTTCAAGGTCAGAGGTCAAAAACCTTTTGAGAATTCATGTTTTGAATTGGTATTCTAAATTTTTATATATAAAGAGAAAAAGAACCCATATAATTCCAATCTGGCTAAGATGCTTATTAAGGCTTAATGATATTCCATGAATCTTAAATATTTTTATAATTCCAGCCATGAAACTGAAATTGATGCATAAATAGTAACATTTAGAGTTTTGCATGAATTTACTAGTGATACACACTACTTCTTGGCAAAATTTTGTGGGATATTCCACACACACTTCTTAAATGTATCACCCTGTAGGTTCAACAGAAGCTCTCCCACAAATCAAAAATATAGGTTGGAATTCAATTCACAACAAATGACAAGTACAAAGACACCCGTTGAGCGAGTGGACAAAGAAAAAGAACCTATATCATTTTCGGTTGCCATTTCTAGCTCCGATTTTCAGGATACAATACGAATGCAAGCATATAAAATCAACATTTATGCCGGGTTTATCATAACCACGAATCATAACATGTCGCTGTGTATACGTCGCCATATTGGATTCTAGACCAAACAAAACTTCAAAAGAAATGACATTTCTCATTATGTTCCACCTGATTTTTTACAAAATACGGTTCAAGACGAAATTGACGAGTACACCGAATGAAAAGGCTCAGGCATGGTTTACCAATGTTCAGCAACTGTGGATATTTACGTCCATCGCGCCATATTTACCCCACTTGAACTGAGTATCATTACCTGTATTGTAAACATGGAGTTCTTCAACAATTCCTTCATTTCCGCCTCCAAAAACAACCATCAAATCTTTAATAGCTACAGCACGATGTCCATGTCTTGGACGGGGCTGAGGTCCAGTGGGGTTCTCCACTAATTTCCACTGTAACGCCTTACCCGCCATTACGTGATCACATTGCACTCTACTGGGACATTTACAAAGCCAAATAATTTAGCACAGTTCGATTTACAAAAAATCACTTCAGACCGCCCGTATGGCCAGTACATTTTTATTCGCACTTTTATCCATGACCATGAGTTAGTAGTAGATCTTAAATCATTTTGAGAAAATTATTTAGAAATCTATTAAAATAACTTTCTTTATTAGACAAGCGGCAAAACGCTATAAAAGATTTCCATCACAGTCGGCAAAATGGTTTGCAAACACATCATTTACCGACATTGTAAGCGACCTCTATATTTTAAACGATAAGCTAAATCTGGTAGGTGCATTGCAGTGCCAGTTTTGCCAACTTAGATGGTTGGCGCTGATGGGCAGTGTTGCCAATGGCCTCTGATGAAAATATCCACCTCCTATGGAAATCTTTTATAGCGTTTTGCTGCTTGTCTAATAAAAAAAGTTATTTTAATGGATTCCTTAATAATTTTCTTTAGATTTACATAAAATTAATTCTATAGATGACTGATCTGTTGAGTGTTTTAGCAAATTCAAATTCAGTTGGTCATAGGAAGCTGTTAAATATTGCTTGAAAGCTGAAGCAGAAATTGCCCATTTTTCATTCCGAAAAAAAAAAATAGATACTCTCGATGGTGGGTACAGATAGCAGCTTACAACTTACAGCGGCAAGATGAAAAATGAAGCGCGGACTGTTCACATTCACTGTTTTAGGGTCATACTGGACAAATATCAGGTTTTCTTCTATAAAATGTTTCAAATGTTTGAACATATTTCGCTTATTGAATTTGAAAAGAACTTTTTGTTATGACGGGTATTAATTGCTAGCAATCAGAATCCAAAGCGCTATAAGCTTAAATGGGAAAAGCTGTCATCTGTACCAAGCATATTGAGTAGACATAGTATTCATTCCGAATATTTCGACTCAACATTCTGCTGAAATTGCTATCAAAAGGTACTGTGGCTTCAGTGAACTGTCATTATTTTAGAGGGGCAAGGAATGCCAAATTTATTTCCGTTGTTGAACATCAAATCAAATTAACAATATCATTATCAATATCGGAGAATGCCTTATTTAAACAATTGGACAGATAAACCAAACACTACCGAAGTGACAACCTAACAACTGACAAATTTCACCAGCTAATCACAAAGGTATATGAATATAAGTTGTTTATATTGAGTTCATTGAGTTCACAATGAACTCAATATTCATTCATGTTCATTGGCTGGTCAACTGCTCTGACTGATTACTGATGAAAACGTGTTCCGAAATAAAGCACTGTATTTCTGATTATATATTTCGGAACGCAGATTTTCAGCAGTCAGTGGATCCCATATATCTACTACTCATATATGAATCATAGCTGTCCTCAAAGCGGGACCAACTTCTGTCTCTATAGATAACGAAATCGACCAATAGGCGTTGATGCCGACGTAGGGAAAAAATAATACAATCCTTCACTTTTCGTCCTTTTAGATTCGAAAGGTACTCCTCATTTTGGTCCCATTTTTGTTGAGATATCGTATAGGCGATATATAGAAATAGTACATATATGGTGGATCCACTAGTGACAGTACTCTGACCAGCAGTAGAATTCGAAATAGCCCAAGGCTATATTCCGAATTCAACTATGGCCAGTAATCTGCCTTGTCCTTTCCTATGAAAGGGTGACACTGAACTACTCTTTAGCCAAAATAGCGTTCCTTTCCTTCAGTGTGTTGCTTTTCCCACTTCATCATGTCCCTTCGCAACGGTTTAATTACAGCGGTGTAGGATATCTCTACCGGGACTCACCTTGGGGCTATTCTAATCCGACCCCACACGGATATGACAGTCAAAAACTTGTAAGTAGATTTTTTTCTCAATCATCCAAAATTTCAATGAAGTACGACGTGTATCATCAGAATATGCTTGAGCATATCATATCATTTTTATTGGAGAATCTTCTCATATTCCTCAATTGAAAAGTTGAAGTGTTTTTCGCGTCTCCTGTAATAGTTACTAAAATGACTAGAGTCGAGCCATAGAACCATAGCGATATATTATAAGTATTCTTTTCTATTTTGTCTGAACTTAAGTTTTCATTCTCACATAGTTCCATCCACTTCATACAACGCAACCAGTTAGTTTTTCTCTTTGGAAATGGGGGTAGTACTTAAAAGTTTTATTTTTTCTTGATTCACTTTTGCAATATGTTTGTAGATATATATGGATTCTTTTGAAGCTAAATAATTGGACTAAACGATGAAACCAGATTTCTCGCATCTTCTCTGTTTTGTGAGCATTCGACGACATGTTTGACATTCATTTTCATGAAGAAAATGTGTTACCAACACATAACTATTCGTCATATAGAAGCAACATGTTGAAAATATCATTTTTGTGAATACCATTGAGTTGTAGGAGCTATGAAAAATTATCACTTCATTTTATATCATAACCAATGTTTTGGTACGAAAATCATTCTAAAATTCTTTATCCTGATGAGTAGACATACTTATGTCATTTTTCGAAGTTGGCAACTTGGAACTGAGTTCCCCAATTTGACAACACTGTTGCTGGGTTTCTACTAGCGTCTAGCGTCTAGAGACAGGAGGCACAATATACAGTAGATTGCATGGAAAACCCATCTTTGAGGGCGTTTTCCATAGTATTTCCAACTCAACATTGAGTAGGAACATCGAAGGCGCAAATTTTTTACTGCATGGGAGATACCCTTTCGATTTCTTGCTATTTAGTGACTTGACAACGAATGACATTGACGTTTTTGTCTTTTGTGCATCCAGTACAATCGACGCAACGAGTCGATTTGATATGGAATGATAGAAAATTTCACAAGTAATTATGGCGGTGGGGGAACTTTAAAGCGCGGCAAGTGCGAGTACAGCGAACAGCTTACATTCACTAGCGCAATGAATTGAAAATTTCAGAAAAATCACTCGACCACCTACTATGATTTCTCTACGTCACAACGAGCGAGACGTTGATTCTTCATTTTCCCGCTAGATGGTGATGCTGCTATTGCTGCTGTGACGAGTGAAAATAAAATGGCAAATGGCATTTTAGGTACGCGGAACATATGTAACAGTGGGATTATTCAACTCTGTATTCGAGAAATCTGCGACAATTTAAAAACTGACAGATGTTATAATTGTGAAATGTCGCCATCTATTTGAAGATCGACGTAATCATTGCTCTCGCTGTTCTCGAGAGGTCGAGTAAAAATTCTGTAACAAAAGCGCATCAGTAATTACACCATATCTTACTTCCATCATGACTAGCGCATTGACGCATAGCCATCTTTAAACTAGCGTCTAAAGACAGGAGGCAACAGATAATCATCGCGGTGGGAATACGTTACAGCGCGTGTACTGATCACTCGACAACGTGCAAAACAATAATAATTATTATTGGTAGGTGAATAACCATGCGATACCCCTAATGGAGGGAGGACGAAAAATATTCCTCCTGCATAAAAACACTACATTTTGCAAACCATCTAGCCTTACTCCTAAATGAACCTCCTTCCTAAAAATCGTTCGTAAAAGTTCATTTCCGTACGTTAACGTCTACGTGGAGGTCTACGTACAGTGTGTACTTCGACTCTTTGTGGTATGAAGAAAAATAATTCAGTCGCTGTACCCGCAATTGTCGCGCTCAAAGTTTCCCCACCGCGATGATTATTTGTTGCCTGCTGTCTCTAGACGCTATTGTTTTAATTTTTTTTATACTGTCAGTCCTGACACACATACTACATTGCTACAAGTAGCAAGTACTACAACTCGTTCGTGGTAACATTGATGGAAGTAAGATATGGTGTGCGTATTCGGCCATTATTACATATTGAAAATTTCAGAAAAATCACTCGACCGGCCTACTATGATTTCTCTACGTCACAACGAGCGAGACGTTGATTCTACATTTTCCCGCTAGATGGTGATGCTGCTATTGCTGCTGTGACGAGTGGAAATAAAATGGCTAATGCCATTTTAGGTACGCGAAACATATGTAACAGTGGGATTAAACAACTCTGAGGGTCGGTTTATCAATTGCCAATATTATCCATCAGTTAGTTATCCGTCAGATAAAAATATCTAGCAGATAAACTTCCAGTTTGTTTGGAAGTGGTTTATCAACTCATTTTTATTCTCCAGTTAATCAACTGCCAGATAATGAAAGTTGGCAATGCTGATGAATAAATGTAAGCAATCTCATTGGTTGTTACACGAACAAGGTCATGTCACATCACCACCGATCACGAGTAGTCACGACCGTTTTGTTAGGTTATTGTTGATTGTTTTCGAGGTTTCCTGTTTTATGAGTTTTTGGTTGTTGATAAATATGAATTTTTTAAATGATTATATTCTGGATAGCGACGAGGACGAGGATATTGTGCAAGTGCTTGAGTACGAACGCCCCATCTGTTTTTTTATTTTCAATCACAATTTTTCTCCTCTGCTGTGAAATTGCATCCTCTTTTCTTTGTAGAACTAATAGTACTCTCCATTTTTAACTTTTTTGTCACACCAGAGAAAGCTAGGAAATCAAAACAACTCAATAAAGTGAGGTTATGTATAGGCATTAACCTCCAGATATCGACTATCCGCCAGTTAAAACTTACAGATAAATATTTGACATTTTAACTGCCGGATAAAGTTACCCTGGTGTAGATAAACCGACCTTTCCAAAAAAACTGTTAGTTAAGCTTCAACTGACAGATAAATTGTAATTGATAAACCGGCCCTCATTCGAAAAATCTGCTAAAGAGAAGGAAGGACTCGAATTGCATTGGCAGCAGTGGCAGCACTGACACAACATGACAGACTCAGCGATCGTTTGACATAAGACATTTCAGCTGATTCAGCTCATTTATTTTTGTATTTGTATGATCATTTAGGGATTTGTGCAATCGTACCCAATTGTTTTCATTTAAATCGGTTCAGGAAACAATCATTTGATTAAAATATCATGACTTAAACATTCATTAGTTATAATAGTTATGAAAAC